TCAGGAGCATTGGCAGGAGTATCGACCGGGGCATCGTCAGACGCGTCACCAACAGCTTCAGGGACCGACTCAGTAACGGCTTCATTGGATATCTCGAATCTGACACGTTTTGACGCGTTGGAAGGTGCTGGCAATGAGCGTTTTTGGCTCGCCGGCGCCTTTGCCTGAGGTCTCTCAGCAGAACTCCTTGCTCCAGACGCTCTAGACGCTTCAGACGCCTTCTTTTGCCTCATTTTTCTTATCTTCCTTGCAGCGGCCATCGGAGTATAATTGCCAGCGGGATCCTGGTTCGGGGCTGGGGATGGGATGCGAGGAATGTGCTTCTTGCGAAGGTCGTAGGGTATGGCGGCAGGAGCGCGATTCGCAGACATCTCGATATCGGTTTGAATATAGGCTATAATTTCCTAATTAGAAAGTCAGAAAAACCTCAGATATGACAAATTCAGTAAAAAATCGATGGGATTTGGTGAGAAAAATCAGTATTTTGGTGGTTTGGAGGGCTTCCGATACAAAAGTTGCAATTTTTTGAGGTTTTGGGGTGCCAAAACTGCACCAAATTTTGCATACGCTAAATCACATCATTGGCGTGTAAAGTTTAGCTGATCACTTTTGTTGAACACTTGAATAGACTTGGTTGTAACCTTTCAACTGGGGAAGTCTGAAGACCTTACAATGAGACGTCCGCCCCTTGGAAGAAGTCCCTTGGATGTTTATTATTTTGTTGCCTGCTTGCCAGGCATGATGACACGAACTTAAGGCCGACCTGAGAGGTTAACACCGAGTCACGCATATAATTTCGCCTCAATCAATGGCTAAGATTGCCACCTAAGATTCCTCCAGCATATAATTCTATTAGCAATTGCTGAGCCTTTTGACAAAATATTCCCATACAAGCCGAATCCAGTGCATATAGACCTCACAAGGCAGTTTTAGGGATAGGAATGCTGGTGATGCAAATCAACGCGTCAGTCACAAACAATATCAAAGTCCATTTGTTATAACATGGTTACCCCACGTGAATGTATCTGAGTCAAGTAGTGCAATCACCTTACCATGTCTTGACATTAAAGTATAGACTTTACTGGTTTGGCTAGACACAAGCTTATTCCAGATGAAGAATACGCCTCGGACACTTAGTACATACACGGCTACATGCCAAGAATATGCCACGAAGTTACCGCGGTGCCTCTAAGTACTCTGTCGATTGATAGATCGATAGTGTGCTATTTTGCGCACTTACAGTACACCCCCAAATGCCGCATAAGCAAGACTATGTGCCTTTATAGCCTTACAGGCCGTGATCATACATAGTGGTGACAGGGGCAAACCACACAAAGTCTCTGGTTGAAGTGATTATACAATAGAACTCAAATTTGCTAAGACCGGTGCCATCGCCCTTTGACTTCTAAAATGCCTTTATACTTGAAGAGTGGTGTCTCCAGACAACAACTTCACAAGCATTAAAGTATTCAGAAAACTTCAGGAGCTAAATTTTACCTTGGTGTATAAAATGTTACTCGGCATGGATCTTCGAAGCAATCTCCTGTATAATTATTACCAAATAAATGCAGATGATAATCTATTTTAATGGAGACAGGAAATAGAGGGTAGTTTTCCATTACAGAACTTAGTTTATTCTGGAACAGCGAACTGTAAAAATATAGACAAATCCATATTGCCTAGTGGAAAGCCCAACATCAAAATGATTCATGAAATTCTACGTTTGGTGTTGATATTTTCAATCAAAACTCTACATAATTTGTTTTTCTGCGTCAACCCGTCGGTAGGTTGCAGGGGTCCGAGAGCATCGAGGGTCATCCTGGGGGCACGGTTAACTTGGCTTCATTGAGGACGATGTAGACTCAAGATATGCAATGAAATTCGGAGCTTTTGCCTTCCGAACTTCCAGACCAAAACCGGAATACGAACCAGCGTATTAATACGGTTTGCCTCATGTAGTTTAGTGCTTTAGTTGCGATTGGTATTGCGCTCCGATGAGTTTTATAAAACATGTCCTTTCGGCCTTTTTGTGCTCTTAGTCCTATCGACGCGAGTCATCGCTCATTTCTTCTTTCGAATATCAGTCAAATTTTCTAAACCGATCGTGAAATTCGTTGCAAAGTCGGAGAATACTTTGGGACGCACCATTATTCCTTGACAAGCCCTCCTCGCGACGCAATGACTACAGGCTCCGTGTCAACAGGCCTTGAAAAGAAGGATGTAACAGGGTTCCAGGATGATAATGAGATTCTACGGCAGCAAATTCAGATGCCGGAAATCAAAGTCTCATACAGAGCCCTATTTCGATATTCAAGTTCCTTTGACCGCCTGATCCTCTCTATTAGCATTATCTGCGCTCTTGCTGCTGGAGCCGCTCTGCCTCTAATGACCGTACGTGAGTTCCATGGACAAGGCTGAACAGAACTTGGATGCTCAATGGGTTTAGGTTGTTTTTGGCCAACTGGCAGGCACATTCCAGGCTTATTTCGCAGGCGCAGTGGACGATTCACACTTCTCTGCCCAGTTACATCACCGGACATTGTACTTCATATACCTTGCTGTTGGAGAATTCCTAACAGTATACGTTTCCACGGTCGGTTTCATACACAACGGGGAGCGCAACGTCCAGCAACTTCGGGAACATTACCTTTCCAGCGTCCTGACACAAAACATTGGACTCTTCGATAAACTGGGAGCTGGGGAGGTCACAAGTCGAATAACCTCTGACATGAACCTGATACAGGACGGGATCTCCCAGAAGCTTGGACTAACCCTTACTGGTGTCTCTACGTTTTTCACGGCGCTGATAATTGCATTTGTCAAATCCTGGAAGCTCACTCTTATTCTCATTTCAGGCATATTCGCAATGTTCTTATCCATAGCGGTTGTGGCCAAATTCATTGCCCGGTACAACAAGCTCTCGTTGGAATCTCAAGGACTTGCTGCTACATTTGCTGAGGAGATTCTTAGTTCGATCAAGATTGTTGTCGCCTTCGACACAAATGGCCGCTTGGCGAAGAAATTTGACGAGAGTTTGGCCATTGTGTCAAACTGGGGGTTTAAGTCAAGGACAGCTTCGTCCTGCCTGATCGGAGCCATGCTCTGTATTGTATACTTACAATATGGGCTATGCTTCTGGCAAGGCTCGCGATTTGTTTCTTCAGGGGATGCTACACTTTCCGATGTTCTCACAATTCTACTTGCGGTTATGATGGCTGGCTCTTCCCTGGGCAGTATTGCGCCGTATATAGGAGCTTTATCTAGTGCAACCGCTGCCGGTGGGAGGATATTCAGCATGATTGATCGAAAATTACCAGCTGATCCAATTTCTGATGATGGGGACATCTTCGAGCATGTTGAGGGCAACATAGAGTTTAGGAACGTGAGACTGATCTATCCAACAAGGCCCGAAGTCGATGTCTTGCGAAATTTTAGCCTGACAATTCCTGCCGGAAAAACAACTGCCATCGTTGGCATCTCTGGATCCGGAAAGTCCTCGATTATAGGACTCATCGAGAGATTCTACGATCCGATAGAAGGGCAGGTGCTTCTTGACGGCCATGATCTTCGAACGCTCAATTTAAGATGGCTGCGGCAGCAGCTAGCTCTAGTCAGTCAAGAGCCTGTTTTGTTCCAGGGTAGCGCCTACCAGAATATTGAGTACGGTCTCATCGGGACAGAGTTCGAGCATGCGGATCGGGAGATAAAGAGTGCACTTGTGGTCCAAGCGGCGAAGGAGGCTAACGCACACAACTTCTTGATCGGTCTTCCGGATGGCTACAATACCAATGTTGGTGAGAGAGGTTTCCTTCTTTCCGGTGGTCAGAAACAACGTATTGCCATTGCTCGGGCCCTTATACGCGACCCGAAAATTCTACTTCTCGACGAGGCGACTTCTTCACTAGACACCCAATCTGAGAGCATTGTACAGCAAGCAATCAATAAAGCAGCTATAGTCGAAGGGCGAACAACCATCGTTATCGCACACCGACTTTCAACAATCAAAGACGCAGACGACATCGTCGTACTATCCGAGGGAAAGATTGTCGAACAAGGCACCCACGCTCAACTTCTTGCTCTTGGAGGAACATATAAAACTCTTGTTGAGGCTCAACGAATCTCGGAATCCAATATTGAAGAATTGGACCAGTCAATTGATGAGATAAATGAAAAAGAAAAGGAAGCCACATGGCTCAAGCAACATGAACCAAATAGGTACGAGCCCGAATCAGGCCTAGAAGCCCCTGTGGAGTCCATTGCGGATCGCATTCATGGATATTCCACAGCTACTTTGATTAATTTCATATGGTCTTTCCAAAAACAAGACTTGATCATCTTGACAATCGGCTTATTGAGCTCCATTGTTTGCGGTGGGGGAATGCCCACACAAGCTGTGTTCCTGGGAAAATCCGTTGCGACGCTTTCCTCACCTCCTGGCGACCGACAGGGCCGTGGTATCAATTTCTGGTCTCTCATGTATCTCATGTTGGCAATTGTTGAGCTTTTCGCCTTTATCGTGCAAGGTGTTGCCTTTGCTTATGCATCTGAGCGTCTAATATTCCGCGTTAGACACCACGCATTTCGAACCTATCTCAGGAGATTGCCTACTTTGAGCAAGAGAACAACTCAGCCGGCGCTATGACTTCGCTTCTCATTTCTGACGCCAACCGCCTTGCTGGTATCAGTGGAGCAACACTAGGAGCAATTCTGGTTCTAATCACCACTTTGATAGCTGCAATATCTATTTCAACCGCCATCGGCTGGAAGCTTGGTCTGACCTGTGCCGCCACAATTCCTGTACTTATATTTTGTGGTTTCGCTCGCTTTTGGTTGCTTGCTCGATTCGAGGTGAGGGCACGGAAAGCCTACAATCAGTCTGCGAACTTTGCTTGTGAGGCCATATCGGGGATCAGGACCATTGCCAGCCTGACCCGCGAATGTGACGTGTGTCATCATTACCACGACCTGCTTACATCTCAAGTGTCGCATAATCTTGCGTCGACACTCAGATCATCAGTTCTCTATGCCGCTTCTCAGTCACTCACCTTTCTCTGCATGGCTCTGGGGTTCTGGTATGGCGGGACCCTGATCTCATCGGGACAGTATTCAATGCTTCAATTCTTCATCTGCTTTACTGCGGTGATCTTTGGCGCACAATCTGCGGGTGGCATTTTCTCTTACTCTCCTGATATGGGCAGAGCAAAGCAAGCCGCACAATCATTCAAGGAATTGTTTAGCCGAGAACCGCGAATTGCTTCTGATGCTGCTCCCATCACCCATACCGCTGAAGTGGAGGGGATGCTAGAATTCAGAAACATTAACTTTAGTTATCCAAGCCGACCCGGACATCCAGTTCTGAAGAACCTCAGTCTCAGCGTAAACGCTAACCAATACGTTGCTCTCGTTGGACCAAGTGGTTGTGGAAAGACCACATGCATCGGGCTTATAGAACGCTTCTACGAGCCTGACTCAGGTGCTATTCTTTTGGATGGAAAAGATATTTCAAAGCTGAATATTCAGGATTACCGCAAATATCTTGCTATAGTGAGCCAGGATCCCTTTTTGTACGGGGGAACTATCAAGGACAACTTGCTCCTTGGGGCTGTGGACGACACATCGATCTCTATGGAGAAGATGGTGCAAGCTTGCAAGGATGCCAATATTTATGATTTTATCGTATGTGCCAAGCTCCATCCTGACTGTGTCCCACCAATTGCTGTTGTACATTACTTATGCCACATTTGCAGACATCTCTTCCTGAGGGTTTTGATACCGTGATCGGTTCTAAGGGGACGACCCTCTCCGGAGGCCAGAAACAAAGACTTGCAATCGCCAGGGCTCTAATCCGCGAGCCAAAGATTCTGTATGGGGCTCCTCTCCATCTTTGTGACACTCTTTTCTAACTTTGCTACCTTGTCAGTCTCCTCGACGAGGCGACCTCCGCCCTCGACTCTGAGTCCGAAGCCGCCGTCCAGACCGCTCTTGATGCCGCCCGCCATGGCCGGACCACTATTGCCGTCGCGCATCGTCTAAGTACCATCCAGAACGCGGACGTGATCTATGTTCTCAGTGCTGGGGAGATTGTGGAGAGCGGATCCCACTCAGACCTGATGGCTAAGGGGGGACAATATGCTCAGATGGTCAGGATGCAGAGTCTAGAGAAAATTGGCTGACTAAAGAAGGAATGTTCCTATTGTGAGCACAGTGAGATTGTGTCTCGGTTTCTTTTCTTACTCTCATCTCCACGGCTTATATTTGTTTTTGTTTAGCTCCTATAACCGAGAACTTTGTCTCAAACCTCTCAATGGATATTTTGAGCTAATTGATATGAATTGTATGAAGACGCTGCGAAGTCATATCACATAGCTGGTCAGACAGCAATTGGGCTCGAAATGGAATTATTTTTTTTCTCCCGATAACAGTCCAACCAAGTTCCCAGATCAACGGCGTCTGGATACAGGAAGGGAACGAGCGACAGGTTGCTTCGGCAGCGGCCCATAACTGTTCCACTGAAATTTATGTCTTCAAGGGCAACATATTCCCTTATTTCTCTAACAACGTCGCTGCGGGCTTAAGCCGCCTTGAATACAGTTGTTCTTAAGGCCAGGCTTTGCAGCTAGCCGATACGCAACTGGCTGTTGACTTTCTCGCCATTGATTCCTTTTCTGTTCTCGTCTGAGCCGTTCTTGCGGGCCTTCTGAAGGAAGGCTTTGACATTCCTTTTGGGAGGCATTGGGTAGACGCGTAGCAGCGTTAGGCTCCAGGTGTCAAGGAAGAAGTTAAAGGAAAAGGTAGTAAATTAGAGGGGTGATATCAAGACAGGCCAAAACACATAATATAGAAAAGAGAGCATCTAAAGCGGACAAATGCAGACAATGGTGTAAGATAGAAAACGAAGCAAGTACTGAGTTGCAGTAAAAACATAATCAATAAATAATAGCCAAAAGAGCTGTCGCTATCACGCAGAGTCGAGTCCATGGCGGTCGCAATAGCCACTTCTCCTTTCTCTATATATGAGTTAGGGTGCGAAATTAACCTCCCAGGGTGCAAAATGGACCCCAGGGGTCGAAACAAGCATTTGGGAGGCATCTCATCTAAAGTTAACAATTTCAACATGGCAGAGCGCCAGGGACGCGTCGACAGTGGAGGAGGATGAGGGTTGGGCCACAGCAGAAGGGAGGGCAGAACAGGAGCTTAGGGCAAGCACATAGGAGCAGGAGGGTTTTAGCGGGGGAGCAAAGCGGCGGGAGCTTAGTCAGAAAATTTAGCGTATGCAAAATTTGGTGCAGTTTTGGCACCCCAAAACCTCAAAAAATTGCAACTTTTGTATCGGAAGCCCTCCAAACCACCAAAATACTGATTTTTCTCACCAAATCCCATCGATTTTTTACTGAATTTGTCATATCTGAGGTTTTTCTGACTTTCTAATTAGGAAATTATAGCCTATATTCAAACCGATATCGAGATGTCTGCGAATCGCGCTCCTGCCGCCATACCCTACGACCTTCGCAAGAAGCACATTCCTCGCATCCCATCCCCAGCCCCGAACCAGGATCCCGCTGGCAATTATACTCCGATGGCCGCTGCAAGGAAGATAAGAAAAATGAGGCAAAAGAAGGCGTCTGAAGCGTCTAGAGCGTCTGGAGCAAGGAGTTCTGCTGAGAGACCTCAGGCAAAGGCGCCGGCGAGCAAAAACGCTCATGCAGCACGTCCAACGCGTCAAAACGTGTCAGATCGAGATATCCAATGAAGCCGTTACTGAGTCGGTCCTGAAGCTGTTGGTGACGCGTCTGACGATGCCCCGGTCGATACTCCTGCCAATGCTCCTGACGAAGTATCCGATTTGCAGGAATCCGTTGATAATGAGTCCCCTCGTGAGCCTCCTGCTGAGGACGAGGAAGAGGAAGCTGCCAGAGCGCTTTATACCACCAAAGAACGCTTTAAGAAGCTCGTATACAAGAGACGCGTGGAGGAAGCCCGTCGCAGGTTGCAAGAAGCCGAGGAGGACACCTATATTCCGACATCGGATATAGAAGAAGAGATGGATGAGCTCCTACGCGCTGCTGACTACCCTGTGGCCTTATATCTACGCATATATCTCAATAAGACGTTGGTTGTTCGCAAGGCTCTGCCTGATTCTACTCGCCGTACGCTCGATATTGCAGATATTGAAGAGATCTTTCTACAGTCGCTTCAGCCATTCGTTAAGGACGAAGATTATGAAGTTATTAGCCGTACAGCAATCGTGAGACTGGCGACTGGCCGTGGAGGATCAAAAGCTCACGATATCGACGATTTTACCAATGCCGAAGCGGAGCAGATCCTTGCTCTACTGGATAGGCAACATAAGACCTTCCCAAGAAGCCAAATACAGCTTCATTTTGAAATCAAAGTGGTCTGTGAAGCCTTGCAAGGAAATAAAAAGAAGTCAAGACAATCCTCTCAGCCTCCAAAGCAGTCAACCACCGATGAAGCTTCTTCTCCTATATCAAGCTCTCCTCCGGTTGCTTCAACGCGTTCTAATCGTACTGGCAGGCTGTTGGAGCAACATTCTCGTCGCCTAGAATCCATACGGATTGCAGGAGATTTTCAACGTCAGTTGATGGAGCGATACCGCTGTCTTGACGACAATTGTACAAACAAAAATAATTACTGTTTCCCTGATCCTACAGATCCAAATCTCCATTATAATATTACCGCTGCTCAGCACGAGATGTGGGCAAATTCGATTGCAAGTGGAGAAGCGACGCTCCAACAGCCTCCCTACAAGCTTATTCGGTATTGGGAGAGGGAACAGGGCCCTATAACTCGTCAATCTCGTCAGCCTTTTAAAGCAGTCTTCCCTACAGCAAACCAAGACAGCAATGGAGCGCCTAATGGAGATGCAACAGCAGATGCAGAACAGATGTTGCAGGCCCGGATGATGGATCAATTAGAGGCAATGGAGGAGAAACAAGAGCGTCGAGAGGAGCGCAATGAACGCCGTCAGATGCAACGGGAACAGCGTGAGTTATTGCTTCAACAACAGCAGTTATTGCTGCAGCCTCATTTACAGTCTCTATATAACCCTTTACGTCCCTTATTAGGAAGACAGGATCCTCCTAATCTGTCCGCTCCCTTGCGTGAATCAACACCAGTTCGACCCAAATCTTCTAGTCCGATTGATGCCAACGAAGACGATGCCGATATACTTGCTGCATTCTTTGACTGGAAGATTAATAATACTAAGAATCCTGAGAGGAAGGCCAAATGGGAACATGCCAAGCAGACTGTTATGGCCAATGACTGGTCTATACAGGAACTGCAACAAATGGAGGATGGGTCTTGTGCGATGTATCAACGCGCAATAAAAGCAGGTATCTCGGACGGCTTTGCTCGCGGTTTCAAATCTGAATTACACAAATTTAAAGATTACTATCGCCATCTAAAAGAGGAAACGAAGGCAGCTATGGCGCTCGATCAGTTGGTTCAGGGAGGAGGCGGTTTTATACCAGGTGATACATTCTGAATCCGTGTCTTTTGTATTGATTTGACTTTATATAGTAATACTATCATCTTTCTCATACCGCTCAATGAATCGGCGGAAGCGGATGAGCTCTTCTTCTTCTATATAGACACCTCCAGCAGCATGATGGAATTGTTCTCGTGCAAAACGGTCACATCTGCTCTCTCTGATGGCCAGTTCTAGGAAATCGCCATAAGAATCACAATTCTGCCGCAGGAACACCCAATGACGCTTCATCCAAGCCTTCAGAACCGAGAAAGTAAGCTCAATTGGATTGTAATCTGGCGAGTATGGCGGCAAGAATCGTATGAGATGTCCTTCGGCCTCAATCATACGAGTCACCTCCTCGCTAATATGAATAGACACGTTATCCATAACAATAACCATGGGCTGACGATGTTGTTGGTTGACTGCAGGCAAAAGACGTGTTTTTACCCACTCGATGAAATCCTCAGAAGTCCAATATCCCTCTTTGATGCCAGTACAGGGCATCCAACCCTCTAGTGTCATCGCTGCGCAGATGCTCCATGTCCTTCCGCGCCGAATATCAGTTCTATAACGAGCTTCATCGCCAATTGGAGCGTAGGCGTGGTGACGCCAGCCAGTTTTCTCGTTGAATATAGACTCATCCACAAATACAAGGTCTTCCGCTGCAAATCGCCGTATGTCATCGAGATACGCGCGACGAAGAGCCTCGCTTCGATCCAGAGAGATACGCCTGAGCTGTTTCCTCGTCCAATTCCGACGCTTTAGTAAACGAGAGACTGTGGACTGACTGACTGAGACTCCTCGCTCATGCCAAAGCCAGTAAACTAGTTCATCTTGGCTCCTCCATCCTTCAGATAGCAAATATTGGAAGAGAGCTTCTTCATCCGCGTCTGACAGCTTATGAGCTCGACCCAGCTGCCTGTAATGCGGCCTGCAGACGCTTCCATATCTCATCAAGTTGTTCTGGATGTTATAGACAGTGCGGACAGCAACATGACACTCGCTGGCGATGTTATCGGGTCTCCATCCAGAAGGAGATATCGCAATATCTGAGCACGCTTTACAGGACTCAAACCACGCGTTAGACGGCGACGAGGACGCTCAGGAGGGTATCTATAAGCTCCGGGGATTGCTTCGTTTGCTGGAGGTTGGGGTGCAGAGGATTCTGGAGAGTTGGTCGCCTCGGATGCCATTTTTTCTGCGATACGGGGGTAATCTCGATATCGGCACAGACATAGGCTATAATTTCCTAATTAGAAAGTCAGAAGAACCTCAGATATGACAAATTCAGTAAAAAATCGATGGGATTTGGTGAGAAAAATCAGTATTTTGGTGGTTTGGAGGGCTTCCGATACAAAAGTTGCAATTTTTTGAGGTTTTGGGGTGCCAAGACTGCACCAAATTTTGCATAACGTAAATGGACATCGGGGAGATGCATTTTCGTCAGAAACAACTCTCCGAATCAGGCTCCAATCTTTCGCAAGGACAACGTCAGCTCCTGTGTCTTGCACGGGCACTCCTCAAGAATCCTAAAGTCCTGATGATGGACGAAGCGACCGCGTCGATTGACTACGCGACGGACGCTAAGATCCAAGAGACGCTTCGGGACTTTGAAGGATAGCACCATCATCACCATCGCCCATCGACTGCAGACCATCATCGATTACGATAAAATTCTCGTCTTGGACCACGGTAAGGTCATTGAATTCGACCATCCATGGGTGTTGATCAGCAAGGAGGGCGGCAGTTTCAGAGGCATGTGCGAAAACAGCGGCAATCTGGACGTTCTCCTTGAGGGAGCGAAGAAAGCATGGGACCAGAAGAGACTCGTTGAGGTTGATGATTCATGAGACACGACAGTGGGGGAATACATGCTATCAGCGGCACAATTTCTGCACTGCTGATGATGTATATATCTAGTCGCACTCTGTTTGCATTTCGAAAACCGGATCAGGGGTTGTTTGTTTGTTGTTTTGTTTCTGCATCATTTCGCATATTGGGTGGCATTTTGCTGGTTTTTTTTTTACTACGTTTGGTTGCTTTTTGCTTCATTTTCACTGTAAGGTGGGGGTCATTATATAGCTATAGAGTGAACCGCGTCTGCATCATGCCAATGTTTCAAACTGTCTAACCTAGAGATAGGATGGGATGGGATCATCAAACAGCCCAGCCCAGCCCGCAAGCAACTGACAAGCATGGAACTGAAACTACCTATTATAGTCGTGCATCAAATCGAACATAGCTCGCAACCGGGTTTAGTTCTGCTCGGGCAGCATGGCTGCTTTAACTTATCACGTGACCGAGTGCAACAGGAGCAAAGGACAGCCAGAGATAGCTTGCAGAAGCTAAGGAGAGTAGCAGGGTAGCCAGCAACAGCACTACGGCAGGCTCCAGGAGCTAATACGGGCATGAGGAAGCAATATGGCAGCAATATAGCAGCCTGGAGCAGCTGAAGGAAGTTCGCACTAGCAAGGGGCTGTAGTTCGGCCATCAGTATATGACGTCTATTTTTAGTGAAAGGAGCCTTGGCTAAAGTTTCCCTTATATTCTAACCACTATTTTATAACATCATTCTATCAAACCTTTTATAATGACTACTATTATTGCCTTACTGTCTTCCTCATACTTACAGATGGGCAACTTTAATGCAGTATATTCAAGACGGCAAGCGGGGCACCCAAAACGGGTGCCCTATCCACCGCCTACTGGCTACAGAGATCGCATTCCTCGATGAGGCTTAGTTTGCCCCAGTGGCTACCAATTCAGGGATAGCGTGGGATCTTGCCGCTTTTGGCCGCTTTGGCAGAACCGTCCCACTAAATAGACTTGTGTAACGTATAATATTGTCTCTTCCTTTAGTTCAGACTGAGCGTTGTTCAATACCTGCTCTCTCTTCAGCCTCCCTCTATGGATGTGCAAAACAATTATTACTTTTAAGATCTTTGAACGAAATAATGGAGGAATTCAGTTGTCCTAACTGTAGACCCTTCAGAGCCATCACTGGTTGAACCAGTGGCCAAGAAGTACAAGACGGCTAGCTGGGATGCCTGGAGATCTTCGCATGCCTGTTGAAGAGTGAAGCGAAATAAGAGTGACCATGGAATTCAAATTCCCTTTTACGCGTTCGCGGGAATGGCTTGTATTAGCTGTAAAAATGTGGCATGTAGAAAAGTTGGCTTCTATGAAACAACCCAATTTATTTTTTTATTTGAAACGACACCATCAGCTGAGCCCTGGAAACCATGCTTGTGGAGAGGTTATTTAAATTGACACCGTCATTCCACCTGTCCCTGATGGCGTTGGAGTCTTCATGCAATTGCATTTTTGCGGATGGCTCTTGCTCGGTAGCTCGCTTAAATCCTCAAAGAGCTGGAAGCTCTGACATAATGCCGTTTTTCTTTTCTGCAACGTAAAGATTCTGATTCCCTGGTGCCGTTGCAAAATAGAGGTGGTTTCGAATGCCTGCACCAGTCAAGCGCATTTGGGCTGCTCCAGGAGGGGTAATCAAGCCTAGCTCTCGAATCCACCCTGATGCCGCTGTTCCGTCAGCTCTCATCAGTTGGAGCTCAACAAAAATCGACTGCCGATTCACTGGTCCATTGGCAGTTTGAACCACTACAGCCGGTCCCAGTCCCCCATATTGTGGATTCAACCCCATTGCAGCCAAATCAGTTTGGAGGACTGATTGTACAGTACTTCCAGTATCATTCAGTATTGAAACATTGACGGCTGCGTCAGTTCCCCCTAAATCAGGAATCAATCTCATCCTCGCAAGAATCTAACAAAGGATTAGATAATTAGAAGGAGAAAAGGAACGGCCTTAATACCTCATGGCCAGAATAAGCGTTGACATAGTTGTATGTTGCTCGTTGGGCAAATTGCTGAGCTGTCAGAGCCTTATAATGTCAGATATATCTGTAACTAGACAGAGGGGGGAGAAAGGTCATTACAACTTACCTCACTGCTCTGACCAGAACTCTGTGAAGGATCTCTAGTTGTTTGCATAAGCTGGTATCCAACTCCCTTCAAGTATAGCACATAAGTAAATGTGAGTGATGTATTAATATTGCAATGTAACTTCAGACATACCTCTGCCCACCAGGGCGACTTGCCGTGAATCTCTTCTAGAGTTGTAACTTTGCCATCTTGAAAAAGAGTGAGTTCCCCCAATTTTCTTGGAAGTTCTCCCTTGCGATACATCTCAATTGCAAGTGTAATATTAGCTCTTTGCTCTTGTGGCACAGTATTTTCGTCCAGCATCTTCTGAAGTTCAGCAAGCCGCTTCTGAACATCAAAAGGTGGCAAGACAATTGCAGGAGCAAAACTTGGAGGTGTCATTGTTAGTAAAAGTGGTAACTTGAATTTATGAATCTTAGGGATCGACGCAGTAATATTCTTGATGACCCACTGATGAAATGGTTTGTTGCGGTGATGGATAAGTGGAGACTTGGAGTGATGATTTCAGAGCCAAGTCATCATAAGCTCTTGGACACGTGATTCCCTAACCGAGCGGCGCACTTTCAGCCAACGCGACGCCCTCAATAGCCTCTAACAGCTTCAACCACCCAACATGCCACCAAAAACAGCAGATTCTGCCGCTCATAAGGAGGCCCGTATTATGCTTGCAATTGCAGCTAAAAAGAATGGTCAAATATCAAGCACCCGAGCAGCTAAGCAGGCCTTTGACGTGCCAGAATCAACGCTACGGGCCCGGCTTAAAGGTTCGCAAAGCACGTATAATACAGCTCCGGATAGCATGAAGCTGACTTTCTACCGAAGAATCTATGCTAATTGAATCTCCCTCTCTGCGTCAGAAGGACCAAGTTTTTCCGCAACCTGAAAGTATGGAATAGCCATTTTGGCGCCGCGTGCTTGCCTGCGGCTAGCGATAATTGCACGCTAGCTATAATAGGCAGTGATTACACTTACGTTTCCAGAAGCATCCAATCATAACTCGCAATATCCTCAAGCTCAACCAGGTTATAAAGATATGCCATTCCTACTACATATGGAAAGAAGTTATCGCCACTCTGAGCAGCATGGAAGAGAGATGCAAGTGTCGAGCTTTGCACCTTCTCTGGGGGATTGTCCAGCGCTTGGCGGTTTTGTCGCTTTAAGATTTATGGTCGCGTTGGTGGTTGAATACACATAAATTTTTGGGGAGACCGCGCAGCTCGGTGTCCGATTACGTTAACTAGTTAACTAACTAGTTAACTACTGTCCATTCGAACTGGGGATCGCCCACAGGTGGTAGGTTGGAGAAAGAAGATCAAGGGCCTTATTCTCGTATTAAAGATATTCCCAGGCCAATCATCATTAGAAACTTTGGTTTTCTAATTGTAAAACAACTTGTGCCGAGAACTTACACAAT